GGCGGGGAAAGGTGACGGAGGGAAAGGTGAGGGAGGGGAAAGGTGAAGGAGGGGAAGGTTGACGGAGGGGAAGGTAGGAGGAAGGAGGGGAAAACGGTGACGAGGGGAAAGGGTGAGGCGGAAGGGGAAAGGTGACGGGGGGAAAGGTGACGGAGGGGAAAGGTGAGGGAGGGGGAAGGTGACGGAGGGGGAAGGTGAGGGAGGGGAAAGGTGATGGCCGACTGGTCGCTCTGGCCCCGGCCCTCCGCAGCTCTTCCTCGCAGGCGGGAGGGGGATGAGACTCCTGTACCCCTCAGGCGCCCCCTCTGTAAAGTGAGGGCTTGGATGTGCTTCTCTGCAAGCGTCGGGCTTGGCATGATGTTCAAGAGGGAAAGACCAGCGTGGGGCGCCCTGTGTCCATGGCTCTCCAGCCTGGGTCCCTGAACCGGTGAAAAGGTCCTTTTTTCTTATTTTTATCCTCACCCGCGGATATTTTCCCACTGGTTTCCAGGGAGAGTGGGAAAGAGAGGGAAAGACAGAGAGAGAGAAACATCCAAGTGACAAAAACACATCCAGGGCCCGGGAGGACCCAGCAACAAGGCGCGTGCCCTGAACAGAGATGGAGCCCGGGACCCTTCGGTCCTCAGGCCGGCGCTCTACCCGCTGAGCCAAACCCACAGAGGCTGTGGAGAGGTTCTTAAAAAGCCCTTCCCGTTTAATGCTCTGAGTCAAACTGAACTCATCCAAATGCCAAATATTACTGATATTTGGCCTTTTTTTTTTTTGACCCACAAGAGTGACCATTTCATGTGGTTTCACTGAATACGGAAGAAGCCATCCTGACGCCCGTGTCCTCATTAGCCCCACGCTTGTTGTCCCCCTGGGGCCTTTGCCTGCCAGTCCCAGCCCCATGTGCCCCTCACGCCACCCCTGTCACTCTCGCCCCCGGCCTGGCAGGCGGTGAGGCGGGCCCAGCAGGTGGCCAACTTCACCCTGAAGGTGGAGGTGGAGTGCAGCAGCCTGCAGGAGGCCCTGGAGGCGGCAGAGGCAGGAGCGGACCTCGTGTTGCTGGACAACTTCAGGCCGGAGGTGAGCGGGGTCTGCTTCTCGGAGGGGCCGTGTTAGGGGCTGTCACCTCCCCTCGGCTTGTGTCCCGCAGGAGCTGCACCCCACGGCCAGAGCGCTGAAGGCCCGGTTCCCGCGTGTGGGCGTGGAGGCCAGCGGGGGCGTCACGCTGAGCAACCTGCCTCAGTTCTGCGGGCCGCACGTCGATGTCATCTCCTTGGGGATGCTGACCCAGGCGGCCCCAGCCCTGGATTTCTCCCTGAAGCTGTTTGCCGAAGGGACCACTCCAGTGCCCCATGCCCGCCGCTCCTAACGCCGAAGAGGATGGCACTGGCCACGGGATAACATGGTTCCTTGGGACTCTACCTCTGCTTGCCTCGGTTTCCTAATCTGTAAAATGGGTCTAATAAAGGACCAACCTTGGACATTTCTTTGGCAGTAGTTAACACGTGGTAAGCGCTCGGGAAATACTAGAAGTTACCAGAGTTGTCTTTTCTTCTGTGCGCTTTTTCACACTCCGCCTTCTCGCCAGTCAAGGTGTGTCTTTAATCAGCGGTGTCTGATGGCCACTGTCAGCCAGGCACCGGCCATCCCGCGGCTGCTGTGGCCTGCACATGCGGGTTACAGGTACAACCTGGTCATCTCTGTTGAAATCAGCCCCGCTGAGCCCTTTCTCCAGCATGAAGTAGAAGTGGTGCGTGCAGCAGGCTTTGGCCATCGGCCGGCGGGCACTGCTCTTTCTGAGTGATGGCATGTGTTTTGCAACGAATGACGTCTTCGTTCGAGGACACGTGGCATCAGGCGGGATGCCGGAGGGACCGTTCCGCTGGGCGGATGCTCTAGTTGTGGGTGATTGCCTTTGCTTCTCACCTCTGGCTGCTGCCGCCGCCTCTTTGGTGGAGGTGAGAGCCCGTCCATCCCTCGCCTCCTGGGGCCCCAGCAGACGTCACCGTCACCGTGCGTCTTCCCAAGGTGAAGGCTCTGCGTGCGACCGCCTTTCCGGGCCTGGTTCCCTGGGCCGTCGGTTGGGAGAGGAGGTCGGTAGAGCAGCTGGGGCCAGGGCAACGGTGAGCTGAGGGGGTGAGGGCTGGGGTGGGGCTCATTTCCTTCCATGCAAAGTCAGGACCAGGGGTCTAAGCAGGGAGTCTGAATCCTGCTCCCCAAACACACACCTGAGGTCTCGCTCAGCTGGGCGCCTCCCCGCCCTCCCAGCCCCAGCCCAGGGCTCATCTCTCTAACCTCCCGGGGGTTGGGGGGGGGGGGGGCGGCTCTGTGAGGAACTGGACACGAGGGCTCCCTAGGATGAAGGTGGCCCCTGAGGTGACACCTCCAGAGGGTTCCAGTCTGGAGCCCCTCTCCCCTCCCAGAACCCACTCTCTTCGCCCTTCGCCAGGAGAGAAAACCAGCTCTCATCCCAAAGGCTCCTTCCCCCGGGGACCCTGGAGGCCCGCTCCGCCTGTGGGGTGCCCTTCCCTGAGCCCCCTCCCACCCCGGAGACCCCGAGGGGCCTGGGAAGGGGCAGATCAGGGAAGCCCCGGGCCCTCAGACCTGCCGGGAGCAGGCTCAGCCCAGGGAAGACCCCCTAGCAGAGACCGCCGGGGTGGGCGCTGCCTTTGGTAACACCCTGAAGGGAAGGAAGGGGCCCTCCTCGCAGGACACAGCTCACAGGTGCCACCTGGGGCCGCTCCTGTCCCGTCTCTCACACACTGCACCTCTCAGTCCTGTCCTTCCCCAGGGGAAGCAGGAAAGCTCTGAGCCCCAGCTCCTCAGGCCTGATTGAAGCAGGAGAACGGAGCCCCCGTGGAACCAGGGGTACTTCTGGGTGTGAGGACAGGGAAGTTGGGGCCCTGGATGAGCTGGGAACTGGGGGGCAAAGCAGGTGGGACCCAGGAGGGAATGGGCCTAAGAGGAGCGGAGGGAGAAGTGCGCCCGAGTCTCACTCAAGAGCCCCAGGACCCAGGCGGACAGAATACGGGGGGTGGGGGTGCGGGGGGGGGGTGTCGCTGGAATGAGGCAAAGCGGAGAGAAAAGGAAATCTACGGGCGGAGTCTCCAGCTCACCCTGAGCCCGGGAAGGGCTCAGCCCTCAGCCACCCCCAGAGGAGACTGGGTCCTGGGCAGGCGAGAGCGCAGCGCCGGCTGGGATTGTTGGCGGGAGCGAAGCTGGGACCAGCGGAGGGGGGGCGGCCCGGAGCTGGGCGGGGCCGGACCACAGCGTGGGAGGCCAGAGGACCTGGAGTCCGTCCCGAGAGCCATCAGCTGGCCGCTGGAAGGGGCGATGAGCGCGGGGCAGTTAGACGCGGCTCCTGCAGGAAGAGCTATTTGAGACCGGGAGCGGCCACTCCCAGGGCTGGACCTCCCAGGGCTGGACCTCCCAGGGCTGGACCGTGGGTGCGGCTGGGGGGACGAGAAGGAATGCAGGCGGAGGGAACAGCAGCTGCAAAGGCTCAGCGCACTTACAGCCTCTTGGATGCGAGCAGCTGGAAGAGTTGGGGGTTGGGGGGGGGGAGACAGGGGGCGGGTGGCCAAGAGGAATCTCACCCTCGGCTGGCAGTGCCCTGTCTACCGGGCTCCACTCCCTCCTTGCCTGGCCAGCCTGGGCTGGGTTGGGAGGATTTCCGCAGGCCGCCCCTCGCCCAGCACAGACTGGCTGGTGAGCACGAAGGGAGCACGCACCGACCGGGTGCCCTTGCTCAGCACACGTGCGTCTCCTTCCCTCAGTCAGTGCTCGGGTGGGTGGTGGTAGCGTCCCCATTTTACCCATTGGGAAACCGGGGCTTATGAAGTGAAGAGAGCTGTCAGGGTCGGACAGCAGTAAAGTGGTGGGGCAGGGTTTGAGCACCGATTATGTGCCAGGCACTATTCTAGACACCGAATATGCAGCAATGAGTAAGCAGACAGAAATCCCTGTCCCCAAGGAGTTTATTCTAGTGTGGAGGAGGAGGGTGGGAAGAACAGACAATGAAAAAAATACCTGAAAATACCAAATGTCAAATCCGCTTATGGCCACCAGAGGGCACTGTAACCCTACCATCGTCCATTCTCTGATTCCGCCTTCCATTTTCCCGTCCAGGTTCCAAAGAGAACAGCTGTGGAGGCTATGAATACTAAGTGTAGCATCTGCTCAAGAATGAAAGCTGAGCCCTGACCGGTCTGGCTCAGTGGATAGAGCGTCGGCCTGCGGACTGAAAGGTCCCGGGTTCGATTCCGGTCTAGGGCATGTACCTGGGTTGCGGGCACATCCCCAGTTGGGGGTGTGCAGGAGGCAGCTGATCGATGTTTCTAACTCTCTATACCTCTTCCTTCCTCTCTGTAAAAAATCAATAAAATATATTTTAAAAAAGAAAAGGATGAAAGCTGAGGGGTGTGCGTATGTGTGTAGGCAGTAGTTCCTACTTTTCCAGGTTAATCCCCTTATCAGATCCCCATCCAATTGCCCAAGGTATCTCAGTGACTTTTCAAGGCCTTGTGCATTCCAGAGATCACCAAGACTCATATTCACTCACCAACCCATCCGTCCTCTGTACTTACCCACCTTCTCACCCCTCCTCCATCTACCCTCCTGGCCACCCTCTTATCCACCCACTCAGCTTCTCTCCATCTTAATTCTTAGCTACCTCCTTCCATGTATCCATCCCTTACCACACCTCCCCGCACCCGCCAACTGGGGCACTCAGTCTAGAGCAGGGGTTCTCAACCTTCTCGCCCTTTAAATACAGTTCCTCGCTCTGACCGGTTTGGCTCAGTGGATAGAGCGTCGGCCTGCAGACTGAAGGGTCCCAGGTTCAATTCCAGTCAAGGGCATGTACCTTCGTTGCGGGCACATCCCCGGTAGGGAGTGTGCAGTAGGCAGCTGATGTTTCTCTCTCATCGATGTTTCTAACTATCCCTCTCCCTTCCTCTCTGTAAAAAAATCAATAAAATACATTTAAAAATACATAAATAAATAAATACATACAGTTCCTCATGTTGTGACCCAACTATAAAATTATTTTCGTTGCTACTTCATAACGGTAATGTTGCTACTGTTATGAGTCGTCATGTAAATATCTGATATGCAGGATAGGCTTAGGCGACCCCTGTGAAAGGGTCGTTCGACCGCCAAAGGGGCCGCGACCCACAGGTTGAGAACCGCTGGTCTAGAGGGTCCGGGAAGGCAAGAAGTCAAACCAGACTGACCGTCAGTGAACTCAGCGGGCATGAGTTTTAGAATGCCAAGGCCAGTGAAAGCTGAAAGCATTAAAAAAATGGCAAGACATTATCAGCCAACCAAGCTGTATCTGAAAGCCATGAAACCCTGGATCTTTAAAAAACCCCACTGTGGTATTATGTGGCGTAGACACATGTATTAATTCATCAATAGCCCTTCAAGGGCACATGGTAGGGAAAATGCCATAAATGTTTCAACACCGCCGTGCTTTGTTCCAGCCGCTTCCTGAGTAGGGTCATGTTGGCAGTTCCTCGGTAGCAATTATAGGCGCTTTCTGGGGCGCTGAGCAGCTGGCGTGTAAGACCAAACTCCAAAGTGCTGAAGGAAAGCTGGCCGCGAGGCCGCCGCGAGGAGCAGCTCTCGCAGCCTCACAGCGCTTGGAGGTTTGCCCCAGATGTGTGGCTTCCTTTCCTTCCGCGCTGTGGTGCTCCCTAGAGCAGGAGATGGGGCACAGCTCACCGGGGAATGGGCAGGGCAGGCAGCCTTCTGCACGTCTCCAGTCCAGTGGGTCCCTGGGCGACCTTCCCGCTTTCTGAGCTAAGAGATGCGAGGCCTTGGCACCAGCGAAGGGCTGCCCACAAGTCACTGGCTTCCTGGTACTCGGCTGCCTTTTGACCAAAAGCAAGCATCTTTGTTGTTTTGTTTTATTTGTTTGCTGTGGATGTCGAACACTAATTCAAGCCTAAACTCTACCTTGAGGTTTTTAAAAGACTTTATTGTTGGAAGTATTACACATGTCCCCCCGCCCCCCTCCCGCCCTCTCCCCGGGTCTTCCCCGGAGATTGAAATATCTCATTACATTCAAACACATTAGCTTTTCTAATTTCTTAGAGACACCTCTCTGCAGCTTCTGACCTGCCTGCACCTGGAGTGGCTGTTCCCCAGGCTGCAGAGCAGTCTCCTGGGCTCCCTTCCCTGCCCACTGGGACTTCCTTCACATCTTTTTTTTAAAATATATTTTTATTGATTTCAGAAAGGAAGGGAGAGGGAGAGAGAGATAGAAACATCAATGATGAGAATCATTGAAGGGCTGCCTCCTGCATGTTCCCCACTGGGGATTGGGCCTGCAACCCAGAGATGTACCTTTGACTAGAATTGAACCCGGGACCCTTCAGTCTGCAGGCTGATGCTCTATCCACTGAGCCACACCAGCTAGGGCCTTCACCTCTTTCTTTCTTTCTTTTTTTTTAATATATTTTTATTGATTTCAGAGAGGAAGGGAGAGGGAGAGAGAAATAGAAACATCAATG